GGGGGAAGAAAGCATGCAATGTACAGCAGATTTTGATACAGGATTTATTTATTTATAAATTTTTTTTTGGGGAGGGGGGCGGGGGTTCTTACTCTTCCCCAGAACTACATGACCTTTTATTATGCCGACGTGCTTCTCGTTAGCTTACTTAAAAAAACCCAACCCATAACAAATGTGAGCGTGATGTGTTGATGTGTTTCTCTTTAGTCTACTAAGGAAAAAACCCACAAAAAAAAACCAACAACATCAACAACAAACAAACAAACATACGGGAACTAAAAATACCCAAAGCAAGCAAATAAAAGTTACAAGTTACAAGTCCCTGCTCATAACAATAAATAGAATATGTTTATGGATTTGAAAAATGTCGATCTGTCGGGCCAACCAGCAGGGTGAGAGAGGTACAAATTTTATTACTTTGTAGATGGTGGCGTATAGTATTGGCAGGTGCTAATAGATCTAATAAACCTTAACATGGCCAGGATACTCCCAACTATGCATACCAAAGATACAAACCTAAATTAACATGGCCAGGATACTCCTCATTAAATAGACCAAAAATATATGCGTAATAGCCCCGCTAAATAGACCAAAGATACGAACCCAAACATGGCAAGGATATTCCCCACTAAATAGACCAAAGATACAAACCTTGACGTGGCCAGGATACTCCTCATTAAATATACCAAAAATACAAACCTAATGGCCAGCATAATCCCTGCTAAATAGACCAAACATACAAACCTTGACGTGGCCAGGATACTCCTCACTAGGCAGACCATAGATAGAATGCCCGTCACAGCAGTTTTCCTCAAAGAAGGGAGGTAGTTTATCAGCACTGTGTGAGCCTGGGTTAAGCTCAGGCCAGTAGCACACGGTGATCCTCATAGGCTAAAGAGAACGAGAAAAACCCCCCAATGCAGCAATTGAAGAGATCATCTTTTTTTAGTGAAGAAAAGTATTTTGACACTATAGCAGGCAGATGTTTAGTGCAAAGAAAAAACCCCATCATTTAGTTACTTTGAATGGATTATGAGAAGAGTATGTGTCACGAAAGTGTGGAATCGGGTGCTCCTAAATTTTGGGGGCAAATGGAGTTATTGGTGTCATCATAAAACATGCTCTTTTGTCTGACTTTTGATGAAAAAATATTGATCAATCTTGAATAGAAATCGAAATACTTGCGATCGAAGGAGATGGTGGTAGCCTGATGTCAGAGAAAAAATTAACGTGAAAATGGTCGCCCAAATCTGGGGACATCCAAAACTTGAGAATCCTTGAAAACTACAAATTGACATTTTTATGCTTTTAATCAACGATCTTTTATTAAGCAAGATCTACACAGAATTGTGCTTTTAAAGGAATAAATAAGGAATTGAGCCAAATGCACCCCCCCTCCCCCCCCCCTAAAAAAAAGTCGATATAAATTGCCAAACGGGCGGGCGGAAAAAAAATGTCTGTTTCTTCGAATTCATCATTTTGACTGGCGCCTGATTTCATAGCTATGCCACACACAATGTTATTGAGAAGGTAATAAGCGTCAAGATCTTGTTAAATTTGAGTAAGTAGAGGCACATCGAAACTAGAACAGTTTTTTTTTTTCAGTGCAAAGAGAAAGCGCGACACTTTTTTAAAACTATCATTTTGAGTAAAGTGACACATTGACACAATAACGGCTGTTTAGTGCAAACAAAAAGAAATTTATAATAATGATAATATCATAACATTTATATATAGCGCATTTCCAAAAAAGTAGCTCAATGCGCTTTCAATTGAAATGCCCATTATCAAAACTTTTCTTACTACTTCCTTTCTTCTCATGCAATATATATTTATGCGCACACACACACAAACACACACACACACACACACACACACACACACACACGGACTATTTTCACTCAGACATAGACACAGAACAACTATAATAAAAAATAAAACTAAAAGCGTTAGAAGGATTGGCCTGTAGGAAAAGAAAATGCTTAAGATGTCTTTAGAAGCTATCAAGTTTTCTTGTTTGTCTTAGTTCCATGGGTAATTTGTTCCACATAAATGGACCAAGATCTGAGAAAGATCTCTCTCCTTATGATTTGTATGATTTTACGGGTGTCAAAAGTAGGGTGTTATCGTTTGATAATCTTCGGTTTCTCCCTGGCTCACATGAACTGATAAGTTCTAGTAGTTTCTTACATTTTGATTTGCTCAAAAAGACAGACTCCCGATCATCGATGCAATAGAGGTCATTTAGTAGCACAAGGCAAAAATAATATGGACAGAAAGAAACAATACAATGTAGGTCTTTCTGAAGATGAAGCTATATACAGGGAAGGCGTCACAACACCACGATAGTAACAATTAATATTTAAGTAAGGACTGGAAAAAAAATTAGATTCCATTCTTTATATGTATACGTGCAGCGTTGAACTCTTGACCTAACTGTTTCTGCGACAACCCTTCATCAATAAGGTTTAATGCTTTGTTCTACAAAAGGGTGCTCTTCTCAGACTACTGAGAAGTACATGACGTTTCATAAGTATTATGGTTATGTTCAAGTCCGTTGCTACCAAAGGGACATTAATCTGTATTAACTTTCTGGTATTCAAAGATCCGAAATTTGATTCAGGTTACGTCCCTTCGTAGATGCATCACGATACATTATTATTATTAGTAGTAGTAGCAGTATTGTTAATATTGTTATTGTTATTATTATTATTATCGTCTCCTCACATCCGAGCTCTCTTTCATTCACAACCAGATATGGTAAACCCACAGAATTCTTGAGTTCACCATAAGCAGAGGCATGCGCTTGGTCCTACCGGGTTAATAGCTAAGAGGGAAAAGGGGGGGGGGAAGGGAAATGGTTGGGGGGGGGGGAGGGGGGAGAGCGGGGGAGGGGGAGGGGGAGGGGGAGGGGGTTATCCCAGTCTAATGCAAACCCCATCTAAAACATCTTCAGAGGCAGGCTTAAAAGAGGGGGATGGGGAGAAGAATTAGGGGGAGTGGAGAGAAAGAGAAAAAAATGGGGAAAGACAGACAGACAGACAGACAGACATACAGACAGACAGACAGACATACAGACAGACAGACAGACATACAGACAGACAGAGACAAAGTATGAGACAGAGAGACAGAGAGTCAGAGTCCTAGACAGAAACAAAGACAGACACAGACACAGTTGATAGATGGACAAACAGACAGACAGACAAGTAGACAAACAGACAAACAGACAGACAGACAGACAGACAGGTAAAATCGAAATAGAGAGAGAAGGGAGAGAGGGAAAGAGGGGGGGGGGAGAAATGAGAGAGAGAGAGAGATAGAGAGAGAGGGGGGGAGAGAGAAGGAGAGAGAGAGAGAGAAAGAGAGAGAGAGAGAGAGAGAGAGAGAGAGAGAGAGAGAGAGAGAGAGAGAGAGAGAGAGAGTGGTCAGGGGAAAAAGGGAGAGAGGAAGGGAAGAAGCACACCAGTCTTCCCTCCACTCACCTTGAGTGGCAGACTGAGCCCAACAGTCGAGAGAACCTTGTTAGCCCAGGGGCCACAAGCGAACACGATCGATCTACACTGGTACTCTCCCCTGTTTGTCCTCACATGGATCACCTCCCCTGGGGTTAGGCTCTGGTACTGTTCTCCGTCTCGGATCACTCCTCCGTTCTCTACAAATAAACGCTGGGGGGGTATAAAAAAACAAACCCATTTTAAAAATAAATGAGTATTTTAATTGATATCAGCTCGCACTCCTCCTAACTCTTTAAAACATCTCCGTGGACACAAAGAGACAGCTTCTCACTTCAATATTCATACCAACATTATGCAACCAGTGCCAGACCGGGACATTAAATAAAATTCAGGAGAGCAAAATAAAGATATGCGAGATGAAATGTCTCCGCAAAAACGTTAACATCATAAGACACTACAGGCAGAGAAACGGAGAAATAAGAGCAGCTATTGGCGCTGAGTCCTGCCTGCATTTCACAGAAAGACAGAATAAAATGGTTTGGCCACCTGTTACGTATGTCACCTAGCCAGCATGCCTCGAGAGTCTATAACACCAAACACTCAGACTATAAAGGAGGATTGAGGGCGTCAAGGAAACCCTGAGAACTCATAATATCTCTATTGAACGAGCTGGGGAGGTAGCCTACCACAGAAAACGGCATCTCCCCTCGACGCTCAACGGCAACAGAGTATGAAAAAGTATAAAGTGAGTATTAATTGATATTCAGGGGGATAACCATCTCCATTGATTAGTTTTCCGAAGGACATTAAAAAAATTTTTGAAAGAAATATAATTTTTGTTTAGGACAGGAAAATTTCAAACAGCAAATTGTGACAAACGCTGCGTAGTAAACATAGGAAAATATGAAACCAAAACTTATGACTAGACTACTTAAGTGTGATTACCAGAAAGTTGGGTTTGGTTTTTTTCAATGAAAATCTAACATTTATGACCAGACTCTTACATGTGATACGTTTTTGAAACAAGAAAATCATTTTAAGCTACTCATGCAAATTAAAAATATTTCGTACAAACAGAAACAGAAAAAGTAAATACACCAGAAGCCTCACAGGATGGCAGAATAACCCCCCCCCCCCAAAAAAAAAATAAAAAAAAAAAAAAACAACAACAACAAAAACAACAACTAACAACCCCATTCCAAAAAAAATTCGAAACAAAAAAAAAAATAAAGAAATAAAAAAATAAAGACCACCCCCGCCCCCAAAGTCTGTATTTTGCTTAAATGAATCGTGTCTCTCCATTAAGTTGATGAATTATTAAAATTCAAAAACATAGTTCTCTTTAACTAAACACTGTGCGACGTGGAAGAAAGTACAATACAATGAAAATACAGAATTCATAACGGGACCCTTCATTCCCTAATAAGCTGAAGAGCTCAGAGACTTGAGCTAAATTAGAAAACAAAAAAGTTGTTAAATCACAAGATGCTAGAAATTACAATGTGAATTTCAAACCGTTCCAAAAAAAAAAAAGAAAAAAAAAGAAGGTGAGGGGTGGGGGTAGAAAGTGGAGGCGAAAGAGCAGGAAAGGAGATAAAAGGAGACAATTCTATAGAAGAAAATTTGTCCGTCTCTACCCGGATTCGAACCCGGGACCTTTGAATGAGAGGCGAACTCCTAAACGTCTAGACCAAGAGAGAAACACTAAAACGATATGATTTATAACAAAATGATGACAGGAATTATTCAAACAGACTGAAAGGTCAAAGACTAATCTACACGAAGTAACAGTTTGGGCTGACATCACAGCTGTGATATGTCCGTGGGCCATAAGCTGAAAAGTTTGGAGACTAGCGCTGAAACTGAAAAAAAAAGTGAATGTGAGGCAGCGTGGTGGAATCAGGCTCTCGTCAATTTTTGGGCATGTAGAGTTATTGGTATCATCTTAAAGCTTGTTCATTTGTCTTGCTATCAATGAAAAAATTACCTATCCATCTTCAATAGAAGTGGAGATATTTTGGATTGAAGGAGGTGGGGGAAACCTGATTTAAGAGTTACAATTAGCGAGAAAATGGCCACCAAAGCTTGGTAAATTCCAAAGCTGGAGAGTCCATAGAAACTGTATATTTATATTTCTGTGCCTTTAATCAACGTTTATGGTTAAATCCCCAAAGGAATGTGTTTATAAATAGACATAAAAGGTGTTGAGTCAAAAAACAAAAATTTGATAAAAATTGCTAAGCATGGAGAAAACTGCTGTTTTCTTCAATTTCATTATTTTGACGAGAGCCTGATTCCACCACTCTGCCTCACAAATGTGTGTACAAATATATCCGAACCAACACACGACGGCTGAAGCCTTTTCAATGAATTACAAACATTTTTTGATTGCAATAAACTAAAATCCCGAGCAGACTACAGATTTGGCAGCCCTTCACAGAACAGAGTATTTTCCTTAGCCTTACATCTTCCTACTGATACACGGTGTGACCACAGAACTAGGGAAAAAGGACAGGTGTCTCCTGTGTAACCACAGAACTTGGGGAAGAGAACAGATTTCTTCTAAGTGACAACGTAACTAAGGAATAGGACATATTTCTTCTAAGCGACCACAGAACTGGAGAAAAGGACAGATTTCTTCTGTATAACCACAGAACTAGTGGAAAGGACAGATTTCTTCTAAATAAAATGGCTTGTCCAAAGTTATCAAGCTCCATTTTGTTTTTATCCCTCTGTATCTCTCAAGTGTGTGGGAGAGTTGTATATGTATTCACATGTCTTTGTTAATACTGTTGTTGTTGATGCTGTTGCTGTTGCTATCATTGTTGTAATTGTCGATGTTTTGTTGTCACAGTAGTTGTCTTCACTGTTGCATCCAACTCAATAACATTTCACGCGAGCTTCCACCCCTACAGCTCAATAATTACTTCATAACGATATGTGTGGCATCACGGTAAAATAAGGCGCTCGTTAAAATAATGTTATAGAAAAAAAAGAACATTTGTCCGGCTGTTGGGCACATTTTATCGAGTTTATTCTATTATGTTCTTTTTTCTACTTTCTTTTCTTTTTTCTTTTCTTTTCTTTTTTATATATTAAAAGCATTCTGTTTGTTTGCTCAAACCCTTTTATGTCCACTAAAAACATTTTTCTGTGTGTTTTTTTACTGAAAAAGTAAATAAAAAGCAAGAAATAAAAAAAATTACAGTTTCCAAGGACATTCAAGCTTTGGAAGTCCTGATCCTAAAAACTTTGGCAGCCATTTTTCCCATTAATTTTTACCTCTGACATTCAGGCGATCCCCTTATCCTTCAATTGCACATATCTTGACTTAAACAAAATAAATGTACAGGCTTTAGGATTATACCAAAAGTTCAATATGCCAAGAAAATAAAACTCAGCAAAAAAAACAAAACAACAACAACAAAAAACAACTACCGAGCCCATTGATTTCATTGTGTCATGAAACACATGTTCACGAAAGGTACAACCATCAAGTCGTATGTGTTCACAATCAGAGTGTCAGAAACATCCGTCACAGGACACGATGACAAAGCAAAACTAACAAAGAATCAACTTCCATGTGCCAAATTCCTAATCTTTTCAAAGCAGTGGGCTTTTCCTGTAACTATTCATCCCTTTGTATGTATTATCTCTCGGCTTGATTTGGGTAATCTAAGGCCTCGCTTTCTTTTTTTTGAAGGATTTCTGGGTACATAATATAAATTATGTATTTTTGACGCATCAAAGCCAGAAGTGAAATATAAATTTATGTTTATTCCACAGCCAATTATTTAAATAGTGCACTGCATTTAAAAGACTACAAAAAACCCCGCAAAAACCTATCATACACATGCGCATACACATGTTCACATACTCACACAAAGACACACACACACACAAACACACACACATACACACATAGACACACGCAAACACCCAAATGCGCACACACACAAACACACATACACACTCACAAATATAAATACACATAATATACACAAACATACATAAACACACAAACATACACACACAAACATACACACACATACACACACTCAAACACACACAGATTTACACAAACTCGCACTCAAACACACACACACACACATTTACAAACACACACGCACACACACACGCACACACACACACGCACACACACACACACACACACACACACACACACACACACACACACAGAGAGACAGACACACGCACGCACACACATACACACAAACAGGTATACCAAATAGCTCCCAAGTAAAGGCTTTCAGGTCAATTGCTTTCCTTGTGACGCAACCTGGCTAGAAAAGTTCTGATCTATTATGTAAGGAACCGTCCTTGCGACCTTGACAAATCAGCTGAGGGCTCAGAAGACGTGGGAAATGAAAACGTTTTATGTCTGGCTGGGGGACGAGTTGATGTCGGTGCACCCTCAACCGACGAACTCGAATCATGTCTCAGTCAGTCATGGTCCTTCGAACGAAAAAGTCGTCACTCACTTCGAACGTTTCGTAGTCGATGCTTGAAATACGGCTGAAAATGTCTAAGACAGCCAGTCACAGTCGAGGAGAAAAGTTGCAGACTTAGAAAGGGGGACGTCTTGCACAGTGTCGACGTAATAATTATTCTAAAAATACACAAAGGAGGAAGTGGGACCTGTTCGTTTGTACAGGTTTTAAACAGGTGGCTACCAGAGCAGGTTCGGCTGTGCTTGAATTGACAGTGCTTGGCAGACCATTCATACTTTACCTTGCTAGTTCTCTCGTTTCTGAACAATCTTAAAAGTGCTAATTCCATTTGATTTCAGTCTTTAATCAAAAACCTTCTTTTCATTTCTCCATTTACTTCACCTTTATTTCAATCTGTATCGAATGCATTAACGATTACTTTAACGGAATTTTGATTACTATGAGTTATCCGTTCAAATGATTTAAGAAAATCTAAGACCAAAGGAAAGTTAAAAATTGATTAAACACTCTTCGTTCGACGGTGTTACCGTATACGTACATTCTACAGCCACAATGGTTAGTTTTCTTGTGTATGACATACAAGTATCTGCCCGGAGCTCTTTTCTAGAAGACATCCTCTACTATACAGTTTGCTAATGTAAGCTGTAAAGCAATAACACACCATGTCTTTACAACATTTTCTAAATCACAGAGGGTCAGAAACCAGAGCTGAAAAACTGTTCGTGTAATCGTCTCTTACAGAACTAATGTAGGACTCCTTCTGATAAATCTACGTGCTCGGATAGACTGGTGTTTTGCTGCGGAGCTGATGCACACGTCAAACTCGAGTTTTGAGTTAAATCAACAAGCTCTCTATGTTTTCAATATGATATATATGCCCATCCATGATTCATGAGCTAGTTATGATAACAAGGACATCTCCAGACTATGTTGCAACTCCCGTATTTCTACATTACTCAAAGAGAAATAATAAATCTGGGTAAAACTGGGCTGCAAAAACAGAACAGGATAGTCTTTAGATAAGGAAATTCACCAGATGTCTAGAATCGAGACATTGCACAAACATTCACGGACAGAAGAACCGGAGATGCCCTCTAAACCGATAGGGTTCGATCCTCGACCATCGCCAAGGAAAAAAAATCAGCAGGAGAACACTTATGGGGAGTCAAGGTTTGGGCGCTTAGACTCTGGAGACCTCGTGCTGTCCGCTCGCCTTTCTCCCACGGAACATTCTGTCGTTTGCCATTCTGCCTGCCTGGGTAGTTCTGGTTCCAAGACAGGTTTCTATATCCTGTTCCCACCTTCAGTTGGGCCCACCCTTTCCTCTTTAGCCTTCTTACTTTGTTTTTATACCACGTTTCCCAAGTAAATCATGGCGTTTGATGTGCTCAAAGTAGTTCAGTTACAGTTCCTTTAAGTTCCGGAGGAATGTTGGCGTTCCTCCACTCATTCTCCTTAGTCTTTCTCCATTCTTTATTTTCTGTCTTCATGAGTTTCTTAGAGTTCCTTTATTTCATCTTTCGGAAGCTGTTGTCATCTACAATTGTGAGTCAGCGTGGTGAATTCAGGCGCTCGTCAAAATAGTAATAAATCGAATAAACCAGCATTGTTCTGCTTGTTGGGCAATTCAATTTCATTGATTTTTTAAAATTGTTGGCCCAATATTTTAAAAAGCACATTTCTAAGAAGATTTGTTTTCTGAAAAAAGTATATAAAAGGCACAAAAAGTAAATTTGAAGTTTCCAAGGACACTTCTGCTTTGTAAGTCGCCAAACTTCGACAGCAATTTTCTTGATTATTTTACGTTTGACACTAGGAGACCTTCATCCCCTTCAATTGTAAATATCTCGACTTCAACTCAATTCGAAGCAAATGAACAGACTTTATCTTTACAATACCAATAACTTCATACGCCCAAAAATTGACGAGCGCCTGATTCCACCGTATTGTGACACAACCGCATTATTTACTTTCCAGCCTACCTGCAAGGCTCGGAGACATTTATCCGACATGAGGATCCCTCCCTCCCGGTCCAGCACACCTCCTATACGCTCGGGATATCTGAGCATGGCGAATTTTTCCCGCAGCTCCCCGGGGGACAAGATGGCGAAAGGAGCTCCGTGTTGTGTCATGGCAAAGATATTGTCTTGTAAGAACCGCCCGTTTTTTTCACCAAGGGCTAGGTAGCCAATTTGTCTGAAAAAAAAAGACAGAAAAAACCCAGAGAGAATTAGAACTTTTGTATCAAGTCAAGAAATATTTTTAAAATCTGAGTTTGATAAGCAACCTGTACACCTATAATAAGCATTGTAGAGAAGTAGAGCTTTTATATTATAAAGTAGTGTTTTTTTCAATTCTTGGTTGAATAAGAAGCACGATTACTTCCAGGTAATAAAACTATTAACCTAAGTAATTAAACTTAAGTACTACAGAGATGTAAACCATTCACAGAAAATTTTATTTTTTAATCTTAGTGGAAGTAACACATGTACTCCCAATAATGCAACCATTTAATTTAGTGATAATATAAAATCTACGTATTATAGAGAAGTAGAACTTTTACATAAAGTAACACCCTTTTCATTATAGTTCAATGAGTCACGCAGCTACTCCCAAGTAATAGATCTACAACCATTTGAATATTACTGTAAACTTAAGCAGTGGCGGCTCGTGGTTTATAGAACTGACGGGCCATCTTTCACATTGACTCTTTCTTCCTCCCCCCCACCCCCTTCCTTCACACACACACACACATACACACACACACACACACACTCTCTCTCTCTCTCTCTATCCTCATTTTATACCCCTACTGTCGCCATCCCTACCCCCTCCCCCACTCACACACACACACACCACTGTAAACATTTTAGTATAATGTGAAAGAGCTGAAATATGGTAGTGTCAAGAAACAATATTATTAATAATGTATGATGGAAGTTACTGAGTTAATAGAAACAGACTTGAACGGCATAGAAAAAGAAACACTACTAGAGTCTATGCTAGAAAACAAACTGAAAGTGAGAAGCCCAATAAACTGCTGGTCATGGCCTCCGACACTTTAACAACCAAAGACTTTTACTTTTTACACACCCACACACAATATCGACGTGCACTCGACCTGTAAATATGTAATAAGAACTTGATACTGTACCAATGACGCTGTCCCATGCAGATTAAATCTACAATCAGTTACTATACAAAGTTGGACAAAGTTAGCACATAACAGTTTTTCATCATTATGCAATCAAACGTTCTTAATCGCACTTCTCAGTTATCAGAACACTGTTGTAACAAAGTGGGGAAGTGTGTCAAATGCTAATTATAGAACTTGGAGTCTAGCTGGGGTGACGGTGGATAAGGCTTCAGTAGACGATTCCTCTTTTCGCCGGCTAGACTCATATGGGCCATGTACGTTATTAGTGGGGAGAAAGCGATGAATAGTCATCAAACAGGAACTATAGGAGGCTAAAAATTCAATAAGCAAAAAAGATTAGTGCCATGCTGACAATAAATGTTCTGATGATAGTTAGAGAAAGGCTGAATGATTAGTAGGCCTACATGTATTGCTGATACAATATTTCAGGTGTTTGTGCTGCTCAAGACTCAAGACAGTCTCATTACTGATTTGTTAGCAACACGGAGGCCAATTTGGCAATCAAGAGATGTTATATTCGCTCTTAGGGCAGTCGATGGATTTGTCCAGCGGACTGACGGCATCTCTGTACCCGCGTGTTCATTTGTCCTCGTACGAAGTTCCGCGACGTGACGGCTCGACGGGAGACGATTTAAAGTTACGAGCCGGTTCGATAAATAAAGATGAAGGAATGAGGCTCTGTCGCGACAAAACAGCAGTGAATCCTACTTGTCTATTTGGACGCCTTCAAATCGGCAAGGTGCTTTGTGAATTTGAATGTTGATACATTTTTATTCTGATTTACTTAAAACTGAATGAAAATCATTATCAGCAATAAATCTCTTGTCAACAGTCCAACTGACAAAAATTTGACCGCACCTTCGGTCTTGCCCAGTTAACAAACCGCCCCTGAACTTAAGTATTACAGAAAAGTAGAACTTTTACCGTAAGTAACATTTAAATCTCAGTTGAAATAATTCAGTTACACCTAGGTAATGGAGTCTAATTGATGACATACATAAAAATATTAAGGAGAAATAGAACTTAAACCAAAAGTAATACTTTATCTATAGTTGATGTAGTTACACTTAAAGTAACACAGTTGTCTAAAAGGTAACGCTTTTACCAAAAGTAATAGACCCTAACTTTACCTACTCAGTTACATCCTAATAAGCGGAGTTACCAAATGATACCACAAGCCTCAGTATTATAGAAAAGTAGGACTTTCACCTAGAGTAATACTTTTGCCATAGTTGAGGTAACACTGTTAAAGCCATGAAATATTATAAATGTGTGCATAAAAAAACTAAAACTTTTACCTAAAGCAATGCAAGTAGTACAACTAAGAAGGGAAGCGTTTACCTAAACCATGGGTGAAGTCATGCTGTTCTTCTCAAATAATGCAATCATACAGACTTCAACAAAATCTAAGGACCACTTGCAAACACTCCGAGTGGTCTTCTTGGGTCGACCTGTATGTGGGCTTGATGGCGCTGCCTCAAGCGGGCAATGACAGAGTGTGACACTGCAAGCCTTCTGGCAACTTCTCGGGCTCCAACTCCATCTTGTAGCTGTGCAACAGCTCTAGCACCATCAAAGTCTCCCAGCTTTCGTTTTGGTGGCATGTTGATGCGATACTGGATTTTGAGCAAACGGCGGCTTATATTGCCTCCAAGTTGAGCACAGTTCGAGATCGTACGTCCGTTCATGACGTGCACTATGAATTTTAACTGAGGAATGTCCGTGGTGTCGCACACAAGTCAATAAAAAATAGCAAATGTGGCTAAAATTCCCTGAGAATTTCCGTGCAGCTCGTGGTGGTTTTGCCCCTGTAGGAAGCTTTGCAGTACGCATTGGTAACCCATTAACACTCTCAGAGCAAAAAAATTTGAAACATTCCTTGCCATCTTTTTTCTGATAAAAAAAAAAATGAAGGCTGTCTGTCAAGGTGATCCTTAACTTTTGTTGAAGTCAGTATAAGAACTAAAACGTTTACCAACAGTAATCCAAGTGATATAACTATCTTTGAGAAATAAAACATTTACCTTAAGTACTACATTTACCAAGTTGAAGTTACACAGTTACTCCCAAATATCTACATGTATCTATATACTATATATATCACGTTTAAGAAGTTAAAGTAACTTACTCTAAAGTATCTATTATCTATCACGTTTACCGAGTTAAAGTAACACAGTTACTCCAAAGTATTTTCTTTATAAGTATCACATTTACAGAGTTTAAGCAAAACAGTTACTACAAAGTATCTATTTTCTATCTATTTTCTATCTCGTTTACAGAGTGTTGTTTCAAAATTTTAAAAATCTATCACATTTACAGAGTTTACACAAAACAGCTACCCCAAAGTACCTATTATCTATTACGTTTATTGACTTAAAGTAGCACAGTTACTCCAAAGTATCTACATGTGTCACGTTTACTTAGCTGAAACAACACAGTTATTCCAAAGTATCTATTATCTTCCACCTTTACCAGGTTAAAGTATCACAGTTACTCCATAGTATTTTAAAAAATCTATCACGTTTACCGATTTGAAGCAAAACAGGTACATGTACTCCAAAGTATCTATTATCTTCCACGTTTACCGGGTTAAAGTTACACAGTTGCTCCAAGGTGTCTATTATCTATTACGTTTTCCGAGTTGGGGTAACACAGTTGCTGCAAACTATTTCTATCTATCATGTTTACATATTTTAGCAACACAGCTACTCCAAAGTATTTTTAAAAATCTATCACGTTTACTGAGTTAAAGTAGCACAGTTGCTCCAAACTACCTATTATCTATCACGTTTATCGAGTTTAAGTAACACAATTGTTCCAAACTACCTATTATATATTACGTTTATCGAGTAAAAGTAACACAGTTACTCCAAACTACCTATTATATATCACGTTTATCCAGTAAAAGTAACACAGTTACTCTAAACTACCTATTATATATCACGTTTACTGAGTTAAAGTAACACAGTTCCTCCAAAGTATCTATTATAAAATCTCCTTATTATCTAAGAAGAAAAGCGCTTACCTATACAACACGTCTCCCGCCTTCTCCTGTAATTGTGTCCACTGCTCAGTGCAGAAGTTCATCATCTCTGTATAGAATGGCTGCGGATACGCTTTTCTTGTCACTCGGGTCTGCCCGTGAGAACTCCCACGGTTGTGAGGCAGGGGGAACTGGCAGAAAGAAGAAAAGGAAAGAAAATGCAGTTCTGTGTTTGAGTTGAAGGTAAGAGTAGTTTTCTCCTTCTCCCCCTCCTCCTCCTCCTCTTCCTTCTTCTTCTTCTTCTTCTTCTTCTTCTTCTTCTTCTTCTTCTTCTTCTTCTGTCTAGTCTGGAGCAGACATTTACCATAATGGCGTCCCATTCCTTTCTGTTTTCTCAATCCTATTGACCAGCTCCGTTTTTCTGCTTGTGCTGTTTGTCATAGAGCTGTTCAGGACATGTATATATTTTGTTGTTCTCTGTCTTCCTCTGCTCTTCTTTCCTTTACTTTTCCATTGTCTATGACTGTTCTATTTACACTGATAAAGAATCTCAACAGTCTCTTTCAGTTGGATCTGATTATCCAGAGACCTGCCATTAGGAGCACTTCTGTGTTTGTTTTCCTCCTGTCCGTGACATTTTGAGCATTGTTCTTAGAGTAGCACATCGACACAAGAACGGTCATGACAGACAGACAGACAGACAGACAGACAGACAGACAGACAGACAGACAGACAGACAGACAAGCAGTAAAGACGCAGGGCCCATCAGTGACACCCTCAAACCACCCGCTTTGATAGTTAAATCTCTTTAGATTTAGATAACTTTGTTTAACAAGCACATAATTCATAATGTCTAACACTATGGCACTGTGATTTGTGGTTTACGTTAAAATTTCTTCAAGGTTTTGTGCATAGGTGTACTGTTGTTCATTTGGGAGACATAATTTTAAACTTCACGTATCAAAACTGTCTTTATACAAAGTGTAATAACTCCTCAGCGATCGGCCTGAAGTTGGACAAAATCCACACAATTAGAGGCATCTGGATTTTCTGATTTATCCGGAAATTCGGCCTTTTAATTTCGTTAAGTATTCTATTATCTAATAAGGCCTGGAGCTGGGACTGTAAGTTTTAAAGAGTTTTTCAAGGGGAAACTACAAATATTATGGTTCTCTTCATTTGAAGAGGAAAACCAACAATTAAAAATGTGTCTTTCCAGAAGGTATTGTGAAGTTCATAACAGAATGATTTTGTCATTTCGAGTGGATGAATATTCGAAAAGACACAATGTTGTTGAGTCTGAGACTGTTTTCTCTGTCTCTGCAAATAAGTTATTTATTGGTTTAAAATGTGCTTGACTCAAGTCTAAGAGGCTAAAACAGCACCTGGACATGGATGGCTGGTGCCTCTATTAATAAATCATTGATGGTCTGGTTTTGACTCAAGTCTCCGTGTATGCGTTTTAACCTTTCCCCCATCTTCTAGGTTTTGTGCATTGGTGTACTGTTGTTCATTTTGGATACCTATTTTTAAACGATGCTTTTTTGCTGTTCTGGTTATGCTGTGTGCTTGGACTCGGGTATTAAATTTGTGGGGGGGGGGGGGGGGAGCGAAGTCTAGTTCTACATACGTTTAGGAGTTGACAAACTTCCTGAGAGTTGCCTTTTTTTTTGCTGTGACAGATGTGGAAGTCTTCAGAGAACCAGTTATTTTGTAGGGTTTGGTGGATAGTTTTGGTGTATGATTTTAATTTCTAAAGGAATGTCCTGAATTTGGTCAAAATTATATGTTTCAGATGTATTAAGTTTCTAAAGACATTGTAAGTGGAACTGACCCTAATTCACCCAGTTAAGGATAAAGCGGTCTGAGATAGGAACTTGGTGTTTGTTTGAGTAAAGCACGTCGACACAAAAATTGTCTTTTAGAGCGGTGAAAAATAAGACAAACAGACAGAAATAACATAGATCTAGGTTAAGTATAGAAAAAGGTCCTACCAGTGGCCCATTCCAGCCACTCGCACACCTTAGGTGTGGGACGTGTGGAGTAATACAGATGAGAAGGTCGTCCGATCCCTGAATGTAGTCGTAGATACTCCATTGAAAGTTTACAGTTAAATTACAATCACAAAGCGTTATTATAACTATATTTGGTTCGTTGATTCCTGTCAGTTTAAGCGATAAATGTAGAGAGGATAATAAACTCAAAGCCGATATATCAGAGTCCGAACCTGTGGGAAAGGTCATAAAAACTGGTGACCGCCTTGGCGAAGTTTGTTTTGGGGTGTCCTAAATAATAATTATGCGTTAACATCGTTTTCCGAAAGAGTTCATTCTTTTGCCCAGAGAAGGAGTAACACTAATTACACATGTCTGAAGAGGAGTAATTGTGAGGCGTGCTGACAAAATTGGTTACTTCTCGCAATCCACAAAAAGGAGATATTGGCCAAAAATTGACACTAGGGTCAAATTTGTAGATTTTCTATTAATGCCATATTCTTTAACTATAACATGCCTTTTATTATTTCATATTTAAAAATTACAAAAAACTTCACCTATAAGCGTGATGTATCTACTTGAATAGGGCTCGAATCCGAGAAGTAACTCATTTTGTCAGCACGCTTCACAATTGTTCCCTTCATGAGTAATTTGTTTTCTGTTCATCACCAGGGCTCCCCACCCACCACCGACTCCAACAAGATACCGCTCTGATCTAGAGTTGGTGCCTGGGCTTCTTTGGAGGTATAATGCCAGTCAGAAGGAAACCAATCTCGCCTTAGAACCAAGTTTGACCTTGGAACTGATTGAGCTTAGTTGGTTACTTCGCCATCCCGTCTAGACTGAACTCAGGGTAAAAGTGGCATATTGGTGAAGGAAGCCTCTCCTCAGCCACCAAATCTCCTCCGTCGCACTTGTCGCACAGGTCGGAATTTGAACCTCACTCACTTACTCACTCATGCATGCATGCGTGTATGTGTGCGGTTAACTAGGCTCTCCACACCGTGGCGGTTTGGGACCCAATTGATTACAGAACCAGACCTTCAGTCAATAGATCGGAAAGAAAGAAAAATGAACAGAAGTAATAAAAAGAACAGACAAACATTTCAATCCCTATATCAGAGGGCTATTATAGGGACCTAAGAATGGCATCACATCAGTGGGGGAGTTGCTCCCCCCACCCCCACCCCCCTGTTGACTGTTGATGGGACAGCTGGCTGTTTGTATTCTACATTATTCAGCTTGGGAAGGGAAAAAATAAAGAAGAAGGAAAAAGGATGAAAGAAGACAGACGATGTTCTATGCAAATTTGGATTGCTTGAAATATGACGGGTGATGAAGTGTCTTACAGTGAGCAGCCGGTTAAAGAGAAGAAGTTCATTGGTGACATTCCACTATTGGCGGGATGCACCTCCTGTTGGTGAGACAGTGCGTTTGCCACTTCCCCCCCCCCCCCCAACACGCTCCCCCTTTTTCACATCAATTCACTTGAGTGAGCAGGAGAGTGCGTGCCTGTGTGTGTGTG